TTTAAAAAAAGCCATACATTTTTCCAGAGGTTATATTATTGGTAGATTATCGAAGGTACATCAGGTAGAAGCTCTTTGAAGCTCGGTGTTGTTACTATGTGTTTGGAAACTTGCTCCCCTTGAATGCCTTTTTCTCTCTCAGCCCGGTTAGCAGGAGCATCTCAGTGCTCTGGGAATATTTTTAAGGTGACAGGATCGAATGTCTGAACTGGAAGAAGAAAAAAAAAACATCCCTCTCAGCTTCCTAAAAATATTCCCTGAGTATCCGATCAGATGATGGTACCTTTTTTTTTTTTTTTTTTAACCAGTGAGTCAGAAATGGCTTTAATGGGCGAGATGCTTTTCTAAACCGCGGCTGAAGCACGTCGACCCAGACAGCAGAATGTCTCTATATTTAGAGGGATCTCCAGAGCAGATAAATACATTTCAGATCCAACAGAAAGGAAACTTAAAAGCAGAACATTTGCACACAAGTCACATATCAAAATCACATTTTTCTTCTTTTTTTTTTTTTGTTTCACAATTCATTGCTCATCTCTCACCATTGAAATCATCCGTCTTTATTTTGTTGTTGCTGTGCTTGTCTATCCACATCTTGACTTTGTGTGTGTGTGTGTGTGTGTGTGTGTGTGTGTGTGGGAGAAATGGTGTGTTTTCTTTGTATGGCAGCCATGTTGGTTGAACAAACAGTACAGTACGCAGCCTTGTTGTAAGCCCTTGATCGATCTCAGTGACCACATGTCTTCTAAGTTCAAAAGTATCTCTCTGCTACTCGCTCTGTATTGAATCGTAGGTACAATTAAAACGGCTTCAGCCAGAGTACCTCCATTGAATCCTTTTTGGGGCCTAAACCTAGAAAAAAAAAGAACTGTTAGTATGGTTTCTCCTGCAGACAGATACTTCAAGCAGTTTTTGATTTAATGTGAAGTTTGATTGACCCGCTCCAGCAGAAGGTTCACCACATGTAGTCTGTGCGAGATTTTGTATTTGAGATATTAACGGAGTCTGCACCAACCATCATGTGACTCCAACAAGCCTGTTTGATCAGATGAAGAAGAATCAAAGTCTCTATCCTCATCAGAGTCCAACTCTGTCGTTATTATCACGATCCAGGATGAAAACCACGACTGGAATTTAGGTTTTCTGATATGAAATCCGTCTGACCAGAACATACGATACAATATTTATATATGGTTTAATGATTGAAACAAAGTTTTCATCGCGTCATTTTCTTACTCTGCCTGCAGCACACAGAGCAGAGAAGATGTCGGCTGACAAAGTTTAATAATGTAACATTTTACCTTTTGGTGCACAGACGATGATAAAAAAAAAAGAAATCATACTTCAGCTGAATAATTCATTCTATTGGCTGCTTCACAGGTAATCTTTGATATTTTTCTTCCGTCTCAAATCTGTATCGGTCGTCCTCTAATGGAGACAGTATCAACTTATCAGCACAGAATCGTTATTTTTAATCACCCAGCTCTACACTTCGCCCTCTTTAAATCCAATGAGGAAAAGTTTGACGTTTTTTTTTTTTTTTAGAAGAATCTGAAAAAGTGTAACGAGTGTAACTTTTGTTGACATCATGCCTCAGATCACACGGGGAAAACATACAGGGCGGGGCATAGGATGTTTCTGTTGCCATGGTTACTGTTTAAAAGTCAATTGTGTCTTTGTCGGTCAACTCATTGAATATTTGTGATTTTGTTTTTCATGACGGTACATTGTGTGATGCATTTCTGGGCCTGTTACATCCTCTCTGTTCGCACAGAATGAAAGTGTCTATTTATTATTATCGAATTTTTCTTTTTCTCTCTGTGTTGAATTTATATTTGTTACATATCAATGAATATTTTGTTGTCCTGTACTTGGCCCTGAATGGAGGAACATGTAGAGATGTTTCAGAGATACCTGTAACCTGGACTGTGAAGAATAAAAGTCCATTCTGCGTACTGTATTATGCTCAATAAATAATGGTCAGTCCTGATTAGAGGGGTCAGTGACCGCGGGGGGGGAGAGGGGGGGCCTTTTAAGATGCCATTGGGAATTGTAGGATCCAGTGTTTTTAGAGCTTGACTTGCCTGTGGGACTCGAACAATCAGCTGTTTTGTTGATGAAATATTATAGAAATGTACTGTATTGTATTCAGGAGTATCTCTTTAAGACTTCCTCAACAAAAGGTCAGATGTGATGTCTTTAACACTGGATCCCACACCGGTTTTTAAAAGGTCTACCCTGCCCGGTAAATGCCAACGACATTCATTTAGAAAGTGTCGAGCTCAAAGTGAGACGCGCCTCTGATGAATGTTTGAGTCTTTAATGCTTCAACTTCAGATTACGCCTTACACTCCAAAAAAACTCATCACGGCTCTCAGAAGAGTCAGCAAGAGCGCATAATAGATCAAAACATATCAATCAAGTTAAAGAGACAAATTAAACTCAACCGCCCGGCCCTGAACTTATCAACTGACCAGAGTCAGGCAGATGGAAAAGTGACAAGGCACATTCTGCATCGCTCCTCTCTTGAGTTAGTAAAAACACTCCAGTGTGCATCAGGCTTTCCAGGATTCAGAGCTGTGACCCTGTCGAGTTATTGTACGACACCACAGAGCAGATGGCAGAGCAGGAAGGTTGAGTCCTCCCCGGCCAGCGGCAGAAAAACAAACAAAAAAAACCTGCAGTGTTACAGCCGCTCTGATGCCCCCTTGTGCTCAGCTACGTCGAAACCAACACGTTCAGTATAAATCAGTTTAATGATAAATAAATACAAACAGAATAAATAATAAAGGGAAATAATAATCAATTTCTGCCTGAAAGAAAAAACACATTTGGAGAAAACATTTAAAGCAGAGTGAAGTTAGCTGGAGGATACAAATAAGTCAGTGAGCATACAGATATTGATATTAAAATATATCTTTGATAGAATAGCAATAAAAAAGACTTTTGAAAGAAAATGACCTGCAACCAAATCCTTATTGTGAAAGAAAATGAAGGAAAAAGTCAAAAATCTAATAACAGCTGATTTATTTTCCTCCTTACAATCTATTGATGAATCATTTTATTTACATTCAGCGGTCACGGTTTGATCATTTTGAAGCGTTAAGGTCTCGATGTTCACCTGTGTTTGAGATTCTGTGTTCAGGTACAGATGTTTGTGTTTGATCACACGTGAACCACAGTGACGTCTGAAATGATGTCTGCAGAGAACAGACTCTACAATGGGACATAAGTAACGACTTTGATTCTGCAGAGCATCACGGCGCTGATGTCATCGAAGCTTCTTCCAATGAGAGCACAGAGTTTAGAAATTAGGCCTCAGGAGAAGATTACTCAATACGTTAAAAGAATGATCATTAAATATTTGATCAGGACTCGACTACAGATGATGATTGTGTCATCAATCACCATCACCATTGAAGTTTAATTAGATAATTTATTGACGCGAGTGAGTGCTGATAATTCTGTCTACTTAGAAACTAAGCTCCCCTGCTCCTGGAGAGAGTGGCTGTTTATGTAATGTAAACATAAAACCAAATATCTTCAATCATTTTACCATCAGTTTTGCAGAAACAAGCAAAATGGCAGAATATGTTGCACAAGAGAAACTTTTGATCTGACAGACGTGCAGAGTATAAAAAGATGCTGACGTCAGTGCAGTGGTGCTCTTGCAGAACTCAGCCAGCAGGTTTGCAGACTTGAATCAAATTAAGGGTTTTCTTGATCAAATCAGCTTGAAAAGAGGAAATCTAAATGAAAATGTCAAGCGGTCTGTTTCCTGCAGCAGAACGTCCTGTGACTCAGCGTCGGCCTGTGACACACACAGTCAGATCCGAGCGGTTTGTGGAGGTCATTTTTATTCTCTCCTGTCATCAGTCGATCAGGCAGCACCAAACGATTCATAATCCCCCCCCATCGTCACTCTTCTGTTGACCGATATCTGTTGTCGTCCGTCTGTCCGTCAGTAAATCTGTCTTATAGCTGATGTTTATGAAGATGCGGTTCTATTTACGAAAATAAATACATTTTTATGAAACAATCCTTTGGAGTGTGACTTCATTTATTTGAATGTTTTCTTTATTGTGTGAGAGTCAAACATTCACTGACACAATCAAAACATCAGAGCAGCTCAGGTCTGATTAAGATGATAGAGAAATATAATTGAATGCAGACTTTTAATCAGGATAATAGAAGTGATTAAAGCAGAAGTCTGGAGAGATCTGTTTCAACACTGCATAGAAAAAGTAGTTAAAAAGTTGACATCTGATTCATTTTTTTTAAATTTAATTGGTTAGGGGCAACAGTGGATTAATCCAAATCTCCTCTCTGTGTGTGTGTGTGTGTGTGTGTGTGTGTGTGTGTGTGTGTGTGTGTGTGTGTGTGTGTGTGTGTGTGTGTGTGTGTGTGTGTGTGTGTGTGTGTGTGTGTGTGTGTGTGTGAGAGTTACCCAGAGTTCATTGCTAACCTGGTGATGTGAGGGACTAGATGTTAACAGCGCGGGCATCGACGTGAAGAAAAACCCTCGAACAGGTTTAAGGGACAATTTGAAGCCAAGTTAATTTATTTTGTTGTTATTTAGACCTATAGCACGTTTGAAGAGTTATATTCTACAATTCACTTAGCAGACGCTTTTATCCAAAGCGACGTATCAGAGAGTAAGAACAACACAAGCAAGGATCTAGAAAAAAAGAGAACAATGTCAGTAAGAGCAAACGATCAGCTTTGAGTCTGATTGGACACACAGGTGCTGACAGGAAGTGACCAGAGGCAAAGCACAACATTGAGGGCAGTTCTTGAGAGCTCTAATCAGTATAGAAACCATCTTATAAGTCGTCGTTATCAAACAAAAACCATCGTCATTACCATCATCATCATCAATAATATGGAGACCATCATCATTAAGTTAGTAGGTATTCATGAAAGAGCTGGGTCTTTAGCTTTTTCTTAAAGGTGCAGAGGGACTCTGCAGATCAAATGGAGTTTGGAAGTTCATTCCACCACCGTTATTTGAAAACAATAAGTACTACATTTTTTTTTTTTTTTTAAATCTGACTTTTAATAGTTTGCTAAATTATATAAAAACTGCAATGATGACAGATATCCAAACACACAATGGAGGTCAGCTTTTTTATTATTGTTACAAGGTGCATTTCTTTCCAGGTAACGTGTGATGTCATGATAGTGGCCTATTCCTAATTTTTTTTATACTTTCTTGAGTCCTCACACAAAATCTAAATTTGCAAAATGATCACCTGAAGAAATGCTCTGGTCAAAACGTAATCAATTAAAACTTCTTGTGGCATTTGAGAACGTGTGCGGCCTTCTTCCTACTCTACACAACAAACAAACAAAGAGGAAAATGTAATTTTTGCTCTTAAGGCAGCAGACTTAATGGATGAGATAAACTGTTTGTTTTTGTAAATGTTTGTCTGCTAAACTTACTACACTACAGACTGAGATGTGGATGATCTGCTGAAGTGTGAAGGTTGTTTTCAATCTTCAGTTAGCGCACACTGCGTCACTCAAACATTCTAAGTGTTTCATAACTCATCTCCCCTTCACACACCGGTTCATCAAGTACGACATGAGGCGGTGCGTTCTTCTGAAATATCTTTATTACAGTCTCTGAGCAGTCTAATCACATCTCTTTAAAAAAAAAAGGAAAACAATCGTCACACATCTACAAAGTGAACACAGGTTTTGATCTACAAGGCCTCGTAACACAGACGTCAGGAAGAGAAGAGAGAGATCAGCTGATGTCTGTGATTCACATAGAAACAAACTCTCTGTGACTGACATCTCATTATGAATACTTTGATTTATTTTTTATTTCAAATCAGAGCCAAATGTGTCAAACGTTCATTTCTTATCATTGAACTGTCTGGAGTGTTTTTCTGCCACAGCGTCTCTACTCAGTGCAATCATTGATAATAAATCGGCTTTGTCCTTGAAGAGTTTAGAGTCAATGTGGAAGGACAGACTGTGGACAAGTTTAAAAAAGTGGACATTACCAAACCCCCAATATTTAAGATCTTCCAGCTCCAACAAAAAGTCAACATCGAACCTGGTTCCTCTTAAGATCACCGTCCAATGAAAGCATGTCGCTTCTAATGTGGAGATTTGTTTTTAGTGAAACAGTCATAAAAAGCAGTTTTAAATACGACAGATTTGATGATATTTACAAATGGTAGAGAAGAGATGTTAGCTTATTAAAGACACATGAAGCTATAAGAAAATGTAAAGCTACATGGTTATTACTGGACAGTGATTAAAGGTTCATGGTTCAGTAAAGTTTCTGTGAAGTCTTCCCCCCTTCAGTCGTCAGTAACCGTCTCATTTATTTCACTCCTATGACCCTCTTAAATATTATTTTAATGATTTCATATTTCCTACAAATCAAACCCTCTTGTATTATTATTAATACGTCTGCCTCAGGTGTGCTTCACTGTTGTTGTTTAGTTCAGAGAGAGGTGGCTCAGCTGACCCCCCCCCCTCCTCAGAACAACACACAGACAGAAACCATCACCAAGAGAGAAGATAAAGGAAATATATATTTGCAAACCCCGACAATGTCAGAGCCAAACGTTCATATTTTCAAACAAAGAAACACACGAGAAAGAAAAGCAGAAACCAACTAAAGTTCTGAAATCAAAGTAAAGGCGTTGAGTTGATCTGTTAAAAGGCAACTGTACACTGTGAGCCTTCACACTGCTCAGAGGTCACTGGGACTACTTGACCTTTTCTAAATGCATTCTGGGTCCCCGGGGTGAAAGACTAACCTCCACTCTGTTGTGTTTTAGGATCCAGACTTAAACATCAATCAAGTGCTGAACACAAACCTACATTTAAGTCTCAGCTCTCTCCTACCTGTCAGTGTGTATCTATTTGTGTGTCTGTGGTTCTGTCTACTTGCTGCTCCCCTCCCCCTCTCCCCCCTTCCCCTCCTCCACCTCCTCCTCCAGTTCGACCAGAGCTGCGTGGCGATTGGCCTGAGAGCCCTCGCTGAAGAAAACCTTCTTGATGACGCCAGATTTGGGCGCCCGGATGGTGTGCTGCAGAGACGATAGAAAGACGACTTTACTACCAAACCCAGGGGTTCAGTGTATGTGTGTGTGTGTGTGTGTGTGTGTGTGTGTATGTGTATGTGTATGTGTATGTGTATGTGTATGTGTATGTGTATGTGTATGTGTGTGTGTGTGTGTGTGTGTGTCAAGTCCCTCACCTCCATCTTCATGGCGATCATGACCATCAGAGCGTCTCCTACAGCCACTTTGTCTCCAACCTTCACCAGCACCTGAACACAACACAAGTACACACTGTTTGTATCTCACAGGAAGTTACTCGTGCTTCAATGACTGTAATCATCTTTATTATAAGCTGCATCTTTAAATTATCTCCAGTGGTTCAACAGATGACAGCATGTTCATCACTTAAGAAAAAGTTTACCAGTAATTAAATTAATAATGATGAAAAAGTAAAAGAATGTTCAAAACACTGATTTGTCTTTGACTACAGCATCTCCCAGAAAGTTAGAACGTTTTTTGTCTTATTAATAACATATTATTAATTATAATAACACTGAACATCTTAGGTAAACAGAAGTACACTCAGGTGTCTCTATAAATAACAACAGACACAATGGAAGCATGTAATCACCCTCCTTTCAGAGAGTCCATTGTTCTTATATCAGCTGGAGGACATTTTCATTTATTCTTTATTTTTTCTTATATTTTAAAGGCTTTATATGCAGCTGATCCAGCAGATGTCGCCCTTGAGCACCAGCATGAAACCAAAACAACTCGCGCTGCATTGTTGTGTTAGCATGCTAATGCTAGCGATCTTTATTATGCTGGTATCTTCATACTGCATGTAAATTTACCTGAAATGAGCGTGATCTAGAAACACAGTTAAGCAGTGAGTACAGTATGTTATTCTTCTTTTCTCTAGTCCCTCAATTAAACAACTTTTATACACGAGGGGAGGAGTCAGCCGGCCATCCTGGCGATGTAAACAAACTGAAGATAGGACTCTGAAAACTCTGAAAACATCACAGACAGTGGGACTCGGGTGTTACACCCATTGTAGACAGTCATGACTCACAGAGTTATTTTCAGAGGATATACTTGATTTATATTATATTTAAGGGTGAAAAATCACATATAAAGACTTTAAAGGACTAATATGAGAGACATTTACTGAAATCAATCCTAAAATGACCTTTTTCATATCACTGAACATTAAGGGTCACGTCATGTTGAAGTGCAGTCTTCTCTGTTGACAACGCAGCAGCCAGTATGTCCTCCTAAGTTTGGATTCAGGTGTGAAATGGTCTGTTTTTGTTTTGACCAGAGAAGTAGGCGGTTTTAAGGCACACCCAGGCAAACCTCAAACCAACAGGTGTGCAGTGATGAAAGCGACCTGACCTAAAAAGCATCTGCATTTTTCTGATAAGCTCCACGACCAGAAACGTGGTCAGACTAAGATAAATATCTCTTCATTGTTTTGAATTTGGACTGCAGTACCCATTTGAAACACTAGGTGTCAGAGTTACATACTGCTCCTTTAATAAATGTAGCATTCAGTCTTTCATATTTCTTTTCCTGCTCTTGTTTTCCTTCATGTTGGTTTCATAATACTCTGAGTAACAGGCTCACCTTCTCGATGGTTCCCGTCATGGGGGCCACAGCTCCTCCCTGAGCTCCAGAGCCGCTCACACCAGCCAGATACTTGGGCACAGGCACCGACACTTCAGAGCTTCCCTCCTGCAGAGAGATGTAAGCATGTCAGAAACTGAAGTGACAGTTAACTGGCAGCCGGGGTAAGAGGATCTGAAGCGTCTTTAATTTTCCTGTGATGTCAGAGACGGCGAGGGTTTGTCCCCGGCCACCAGTCCTAAAGATGAAAGACACTAAAGACGGAAAATAAGGACAGTTTGAGCAGCTTCAGGGGAACTGGAGTTCAGGTTATATGGACTGTAAACAGGACGAGCTATGTCATAAAGAAATCAATGTTTTATATGATTTCTGAGGCAAATAGAGACGTGGCTCAATGTTGACACGAGTCAGAGTTTGATGGAGTCACTGAAATCTTCCACATGAGAAACATCACTTTTTCACTTTAGGTGAACACTTCTTCTTCCTCACTAACCTCGTAAAGATAAGCTTTAAGAAATAGTTTAAACAGATATATGTCTGTCCCTGGTTGGTGGTTAAAGCATTTAGCGTTGCACACTGCCACACGCACTAATAGGTCTATCCAAACACTTGCATTTGAACTGAACAAAAGAAAACAGCAGCCTGAAAATGATTTATTTATTTCTGTGTGATTTTTTATCTATAAAGAGCAACAGTCACTACATTGTTGCAGTCATGTGCAAACTTACATTTTAAGGATTTTCTTACACATTACTTTCATTTCAGCACAAATCTCACTTGGATTATGGTTTTATTTTAAATTGAACAACTTTTTTGTATATAACTTTAAAATAATGGGTAAAATATGCATTTATATATCAATTCAAATGCTTATATTTTTAGGGAAGGAATCTCGCAACCCCCTCTCAATGTCTCCCGACCCCCACTTTGGGGAACACTGACCTAAGGTACACTAAGTTTCTTCACAAAATCCTATTATCTTATTTATCAAAATCTATTTTGTCATTAAAAAAGTAAAATCAGGAAGTCCTTTATTCCCATCTTTCTGAATATGATGTTTGTTTGTTTTCTTTGTCCCACTAGTTATTGGTAAATATGGAAAACATTTGTGGTTTGAAATACGCCAACTAATGATGATTTTGGGGTATTTTGATAACAATTTGTCACTCTTCTGCACTTTTTATACACCAATCTAAAAGCTGTTTGTATTTTAAAAACTCACCCTGCCTTCCTTTAACAAAAATAATCAGAATTTAGAAGTTTTTACAACATTAGAAAAATACTTTTTCTGTCATTTCACGGTGACATAAATTCCTGGCCATTAAAGATGAACATTTCCTTTAATGAAAGAAAAATAATAAATATAGATCACATGTTTTTTTTTTATCATAAGAGTTGTTAATATCATACCGTTGAGAACAGGTGCACTGTGTTGTCCAGGATCACCAGTTTGGGACGAGACTTGACTCCATTGACTGAACAGTGCAGGAACGAGGCTCCGCCTTCTTCCTCCACCTCTCCAGTCACATGGTACGCCTCCGCTCCAATCTGAGAGAAGAAACACACTCATGATAAACAAAGACATAAAGAGACTCAGCTAGAAATCGTCTTTGCTGAAAGGTTATGAGATCTGTTTAAAAGTTCATTTCAAAGAAATCAGCTGAGGTGAGTTGGACTGTCATTTCTTATTCCAACTCTGAACATTCATTCAAACCAGGGGGAGAAAGTTCACATTCAAACTGGAATCAGTTGTCAAATTCAAAATTAACATCCATCAGCGCACCAGGCTCTGATGTAGTTTACGATTTGATCCAGCAGAGGGCGCTCTCAACGTAAATTCACCGTTTCATGCCCTCTTGACCTCACTAAATGAAGACGGTAATGTTGTGGCAAAAGCAAAAGGGGAGCCAATCAGGAGATGCAAACTTACATGAGGGAGACTTGCAGCCCACTGCTTCGGTGGAGAGACACAGGATCGTTACATACCCGCAAATATTTCTGTACCAGGAGGCTCATTATTGATACGGTCAAATGAAGTTAAATGTTTTTGTGCGGTGAAGTCAGTACTCAAATGAAAAAGCGACAGCTCTAATGTAAACTTCTGTTCCTGTGCTAAAATAACATTTTGATCCTCAAGTTTATTGGAATTCATTGGCATTTAATGGCATATCAAAATAAACAATAGCACTATTGTGTTGACTACAGTCAGAACTCAAATAAACCTCAAACATCTGAAATATTTTACATTAAAAAAACACATCAGGAAATAAAAGGTGTCACTAGCTATGTTTGACGGAGGCTCACCTGCATCGAGTAGCTTCCATCTTTGTTGTAAACGACGACCACATCCACTTCTAGAGACACAAACAAGAGGTTTATTTTTGTCATTTCTTAATGTCCAATCAGTTTGAAGGAAAATAAAGAATCCACCAAGAGGAGGCAATGAAGTGACTAAATGCAGAGTCTTTATTTTAACATCATCATCATGACACTGACCCCGCTGCAGACAGCAGGATTATTCTTGACCTCTGGGTGACTTTTTGTAAAAGAAACTTTAAATAATGTATTTAAGTTCACAGAGAAACTGACACTGACTATGAGTCATCGATCCCCTGATATAATCAACCCTGAACTCATCTACATAATAATTTAGACATTTTTCACTCGTTCAAAACGTCCGATGTATCCGTCAGTTTTAACCTTCAGATCATTTAACCAATACACCGTGTTTAATGATCCTGTTTGTAGATATTTGACGAGAACATGATCCATCTACATGTCTATATATATACACATGAGATGATGTGTTGCTCTTACAAACAATGATTTTGTCTAATCAAATTATACACTTTCCAAGAGGTGAGCGTAAATCTGTACTTTCTTTGATAATCTGTTTTTACTTTATGGTAAAAAATAAGAAAACTCTTAATTAACTGCATGTTGTGGGACACTACTGCTGACTCAAAATCAAGTGCTCATTAAAGTAGAAGCAGATGTTCTGACTTATTGACAGCTATTAAAGAAAAATTAAGTCCATATAAAACAAGTTTAGTCAATCCTGATATAATGATTCAACCACAAATCTGAGAATATGTATATATCAGAATGAGAACATTTCAGTCACCTCTTTTAAATAAAGTCTACTTTGTTTCTATCTTGAAAATCGAATGTTTTTTTAGCAGGACAAAAGAAAAATCTGAAGAAAGTTTTGTGACATATTCTCTCTTTTAGTGTGAAGACGACAGATTGAGAAATGAAAGGAGAAATTAATAAAACATACATTCATCAGGACTGTCATCTAGAGTCTCTGATGAAAAATAAATTGCATTGCAAGCCTGTGGTGTATTTCTTTCTTTCTTTCTTCTATACCCTTCATCAATTCTTCTTCGTTACACTAGGGGGCAGTAAAGATTCCTTCTTACTTTTCTCTCCCACTTGCAGCGTCATGTTTCGGTGAAACTGAATGTTGCTTCTCCACCCGCTGCTGGACCCAAACGGGGAAAAGGGTCTGAAAAAAAATAACACACACCACGTACACTTAGTGAACTTTTTCATCTCATATCTGCTGGAAATCTACTGAACCTGATTAGGAAACTGTCTCACCAGTGGAGGTCTGTGTGAACTCCTGTGTGTCTTTCCTCTCCTGCAGCACCAGGCCCAGGGCCGCCTGACAGATTGTCGCCCCAGAGGGGGCTGTCGGAGCGGGGAAGAGGTCGGCGTAGTGCTGAGGGATAAAGCTGGTGGTCACGTTACCGGCCTCGAACTCCGGGTGACCCGACAGACTCAGCAAAAAGTCAATGTTGGTGTTTAGTCCAACGATCTGAAGACAGAGAGGATGCAAAGAAAGTTAGACACCACAGTAAGAAATACAGGCCTTTTCTGGATTTGTTCAAATGAAATGTTTTGTTTAGTAAACACTGAACCCCATATGTCTTACATTGTACTGTCGTAAGCAGTACCGCAGCTTCTTCAAGGCAGCAGATCTATCTTCTCCCCACACCACAAGCTTGGCGATCATTGGGTCATAATGTGCAGACACCTCGTCACCTGAAATCAAACACACAAAAGCATGCAAAATACATTTTAGAAGTTCTCTTCATACCAAAGCCTATCCTTAAATTAATTTAGCTAATTTTGTTACAATAATGTTGAGTAATGATAATGCATAATCACACATGCTCCTTAATATACTTATTTCTTAATAAAAAATCCATAATGAACAGAGCTTAGGTTAATAGATCCACACTCATCAGCTCATTGCTTTGATTCTGCCTTGAATTTTCCAGTTGTCTCTTTGCTTGATCCTTGTGCTAAACATCTGTCTTTGTTTAGTGTGTAATCAGGAGAGATATCGTGGTTTGGTGCAGATTGAATGGGAGATCTCACTGTAATTACAATCAGAGCGTTGGGTCTAGACTCCCTACCTTCCCTGACTCCGGTCTCTATGCGTGTGTGTTGGTCCGCTGGAGGGGTGGAGAGATGCAGCAGAGGCCCCGCCCCTGGCAAGAAGTCGTTGTTTGGGTCTTCAGCGTAAATGCGCGCCTCAAAAGAGTGTCCACTCAGTATGATGTCATCCTGGAGAAGAGGCAGGCGCTCCCCTGCTGCCACCTGCAGGAGACAAAAGAAGAAACATCAGTGTGACTCAATTAACAGCTTTTGGTTATTTTTCTCCTCCGGCTGGCAGCATCTCTTCTCACCCTGAGCTGCCACTCCACCAGGTCGGTCCCAGTGATCATCTCAGAGACGGGATGTTCCACCTGCAGCCGCGTGTTCATCTCCATGAAGTAAAAGTTATGCTGCGCGTCCATGATGAACTCCACTGTGCCTACAAAGGATGATTTAACACTACTATGTCAGACACTGTGTTCCAAGTCTGAGACTCTGTGGTGAAACGTGTGTGTGTGTGTGTGTGTGTGTGTGTGTGTGTGTGTGTGTGTGTGTGTGGTATTCAGGGGTCTCACCTGCCCCTACGTAGTTGACGGCCTTAGCTGCTTTGACAGCTGCCTCTCCAAGTTTCCGTCGAACCTCAGCACTAATATCAGGCTGAAAAAAGAAAAAAGAAAAGTGAATAAAGTCAAATTAAGATGGAGCAATTAGAAATGACCTTTTAGAAATATGGTTCTATCCTCTTTGAAAACAAGGAGTTTCAACAGTCCCAGTATACTCAGCCATGTTTTCACCTCATGTGAACTTCCTGCTAGTTTGACCCTGATGGAGGTCACAAGCCGAAACGTGACGGTCTGATTTGTTAATGAAGTTGATCTTCAAAATAAAAGTCGTGGTTGGAGCATTTTAACCTCTTCAGTTTGACGTTTCTACTTTTAGCAACAAAACAGTGAGTCTGAAATTTTACTTTTACTTTAATCTCAAGAAAAGTACATCTGAGGGAAAATTCTATTTTTTTTCTGAAAATGACACATTTGCTGTTTTTGTGATCAATATGAACATTTGCAGAGCGAGGGTATCAAATAATGTGTTCCTTACTGAAGGACAGTCCATACAAAATATTTATTTCCATGCAATTTGACAACTCTTTCACCAGGCTCTCAAGAGATTTTACAAGACCCATGAGCTTGAACTTTTCTCTTTCAAAATAAATCTTCCTTGCCAAAAAAGAGAATTTTAATGACACATTTCTCCAGAAAACCTGAACATAAACCTCAATGAAGGTCTATAGCTTTGTGTGTCATATCTAAATTCATCTGGATTAAGTCTGAGTGAAAGACTGTGTCTGTTTGCATTCACACATGCAGCTCCTCATGGAAATATCAGGAAGTTTTCTGAAAGTGTGAAAGCCTTTTCTTCAACAATAAATCCATCCTCACTCACTCACTCACTCACTCACTCACTCACTCACTCACTCACTCACTCACTCACTCACTCACTCACTCACTCACCCCTGGTGCTTCCTCGATGATCTTCTGATGTCTCCTCTGGACGCTGCAGTCTCTCTCAAACAGATAAACTGCGTTACCGTGCATGTCCCCGAACACCTGAACCTCCACATGCCTACAGGAGGACCAAAGAAAAACAGAAAAGAGTTCAACAGGTGGGTAAAGGTGGCAGGGCTGTCGGTGTCAATTAACTGAATGATTTTTTTTTTACCTGGGATCTTCTACAAACTTCTCAACCAGCATGACATCATCGTTAAAGGATTTTCTGGCTTCCCTCCTCGCTGACTCCAACTGCTCCAAGAAGTCTGTGTCTGAACGTGCAATACGCATCCCCTGAACACACACACACACAGTTATTTAATGTTCCGTTGAGTTCCTCTGTCAGAGTTACTGAAGCACCCTTCAACCCTCTCACCTTGCCTCCTCCTCCACGGACCGCTTTAATCATCACTGGGAATCCTATCTGGGCCGCCTCTGCTTGCAGTCTCTCGTTTGATTGGTCTTCTCCATGGTAACCGCCGATGATTGGCACCCCAGCAGCTGACATGATGTGTTTGGATGTGCTGCAGAAGAAGAAGATAAAGTCATGAAAAACATTGCTGTATTCCCCTTTTTCTGCTGCAGAAACACAAAAGCCTCCACAAACATTTGAAGTACCAACACACATGTTTTGATCTAAAGTTTATATTTAAGACATTCAGGGAATATTCATGTGTACTGTTTTGATATGAACGTGTGCTACCTTTTGATGCCCATGTCTCTGATGGCAGAGGACGGCGGTCCAATAAAAATGATACCTTCCTGTTTACAGGCCTCTGCAAACTCTGTGTTTTCTGATAGAAAGCCGTAACCAGGGTGAACCGCCTACACACACACACACACACACACACGTCTCTTTCAGCAGGAGTTGATACAAATTAAAGCATTACTCCTCTACCAAAAAGTGATTATACAAACACGTAGAGAACATCTCACATGTGATCCAGACTGTTTTGCCACTTCCAAAACTTTCTCCATGGAGAGGTAACTCTGCTGGGAGGGCGGAGGGCCGATGTGGTACGCTTCATCCGCCTTAAAAAATAACAAAACAAAACAGAAAACACAACTTGAGCAACGCATTTTCTCATCGTGAACGGGGAGAACAGACTGAGTCGCGATACAGTAAACAAAACATTCAAAGAATCAGCTCTTTTCAAGACACAAGTATTCAGATCTCACCATGGCCACGTGCATGGAGTCTCTGTCCGCGTCGCTGTAAACAGCCACAGAGCGGACGCCCATTTTCTTGGCCGTGCGCATCACACGACATGCAATCTCTCCGCGATTGGCAATCAACACCTTTTCTATCCTTCCCACCCCTTGACAAGACAAAACACAAACTTGAGTTTTTTCCTCCATAACGATGACAGCACACCTAAAACAAGACTTTACCGAAGTCATTGAGCCAATGACTTTGCAGGCAGACGGACAGAGAAGAATATCCGGGGAGAGGGGGAATGACATTCAGGAAAGCAGCCGCAGGTCAGACTTGAACCCAGGCCCCCTGATTAGAGTTCTGTAGTGTTCATACACGGGGAGCGAGTGACCACTACGGCCATTAGCGCCCCAATGCTAAAGTTTTTATAGGACTTTCAACCATCACTCTCGAAGGTTTATTGTCATAAAGATTCAGATCAAAACAGCCACAGTTCTGCCTAAAATCAGCACTCAATCTGAATCACTAGTGATCATTGTTCATCGTGCTGATCTGAATTGGTAAGGAGGACTTACAGCCAGTGGCTGTTTGCCTGCAGCCAATTTAATTTAATTTGAATTGTGTTCTGTTTTGTTTTAATTAATGTTTTGTGAAAGAGGGGCAGATATTATAAGATTAGTCTTCTTTCTGCTCCTTTTCATTCAAAATTTGAGATTTTATGTTTGTTTGTTTTTCTTAACTTTATTGTTTCTTTGAATGAAACAAAATTGACAAATAAAAAATAAAAAATTCTACTTTTTATATTGATGAACATCTTTTTTGGTGCTGTTTTATTAGTATATGTTCATATTTATTTATGTATGTTTTGTCTTATGAAGTTTAATGTCCACACTGACGGACTTTTCTTGACATACTGTTGATCTAGATCAGGGGTGGGCAACTGGCGGCCCGGGGGCCACATGCGGCCCCCATCAACCCCCAACGTGGACCTCAGGTCAATTTTAACATTTCAATTAATTGGAAACATGAAGAAAAACCTGACAAAATCTGCCATGAATTCATGAAAACCAGAAATATGTCCATAATAATATTTGCTCACTGGTACATGTTGAGTTTAATTTGAGACATAATCGACTGTGATCGTTTTTGTATCCTACAATTTGGCCCTCTGGCGGTGAGAATTAAATGAACGTGGCCCCCTGCTGTGACCAAAGTTGGCCGTCCCTGCTCTAGATAATGTACTTCCTGTTGTGTATTATTTGTCTACCTGCTCAGGGACAACAGGTGGAAATTGCAATTACATTTAATAATGCAAAAATAAATAAATAGAATAAATAATTCATGCTATTTTAAACACTTGATATTTTGCCTACATAACCGTACTACAGACAGTTAATCCATTTGAAGGACAAAAAGATTAAAATGTCCTTCACTGCGATTGGAGAACAAATGTAATCCAACTAAACTGTAAAAGGAAACCTCCACCGGGGACGGGCAACTTTGGTCACAGCAAGGGCTCTCACCGCCAGGGGGCCAAAATGTAGTACACAAAAACAACTACAATAAATGATGTCTCAAATTAAACTCAACATGTAACAGTGAGAAATATTATTATGGACACAATTTCTGGTTTTCATGATTTCATGGCAGACTTCATGTTTCCAATTCACTGATGTGTAGAAATGAACCTGAGGGCCACGTCGAGGGTTGACGGGGGCCGCGTGTGGCCCCCTGACCTGCACCAACATGTTTTTCTACAGAGACATTCACATAATGATGATGACTTCTGTTGAAATGAGCTTTTTCTTGACTCACCTCCTGACACAAACCTCACACCTCTTCTGGACCATGACAGCTTCCTGACGAGAAGAAAAACAACTTCACAACTATTATAATCACAACTGGGCTGCAGCTTTTTACTTTTTAAACAACACTTAACTTTACAATACAGAACAAAACAAAAAAAAAAAAAGGTTGTTCCCTTTTGAGTGTAAATCCTAAACAGAGTGGTTGTTTGTCCCAATCAGAGTCTGCTACCTTTATTTAACCTTGCTCAACTTTTATCTGATTCACTGACTGGTTTCATATTCTAAATCAAGAATATGATATAAGTAGTAAATTATGTATTTGTCTGCACACGACAGCACCTCTTAATAATCTCCAAAGTGACGTGTTGCAGTGAAGGATACAGAATCACCTGTAAGGTTAGAGCTCACACCTCAGCTAGCATTAACACTGGTTTAGCAATGAGCTAACGTTAGAATTAGTGTAAAACAAAGGTCGTTTGTGGAAGATAAAGTGAGAGGGAGTGACGGGATGGTAGCAGGTGTTTAATGCGGTGATGTACTCACTGTGTGAATATCCTCAGACCCTGCAGAGTCGGGAAACTCAGGATAACTGCAGCCATAGCTACGAGCTGCTGAAGCTAGCGAGCTAATAGCCTGAACAGCTGAGCAGGAAAAGGCGAAGCGGTAAATTTACTAAACAATCATAAACTGGTTCAGTTCGGCTTTCACTCCAGAAAAACAACCTTAATATAAACAACAGATAAATACACCGGGATTCAAACTCAAAAACTTAAGCACAAGAGAAAAAGACACGCTTGTTAAATGTATCATCAGGTTATGACCCGTCTGAGGACTCGTAGTTTCCACAGCCAATAAGAAAGAGGAAAACGGAGGTGTGGAGGAAACTGCAGGTACTGAGCATCACCAGCAGAGGGCGGTAAATTACTTTTAATCCCGATGTGATTATCAGCAATTTAAAAAAAAAAAAAACACACATTCAGAATAATTTAATAAAACTCGTTTTATTTCAAAAACAAGAAACTTTCCTGCAAAGCAATTCAAACATTTAAATTCAGGTGGACACTTCAATATTTTACACTTTTAATGCCTTCATTTGAGTTTTGCATCACATTTTAACACAGAAGCCAACATACTAGGGCTGAAAAATACATTGAGTTTTTAAGATATATGATATATTTTCAAATAAGATCTAGGGTAAGACAACATCATTAATATGGATATAGTTTAAGTTGCATTAAAATAACATTACAGAGGTGTCAGGTCACCTTTTTCTCATCTCACTGATGATGACTGACTGTCTGTCCCTCTTCACCCTGCTTCTCCTCTCTCTCTCTTTTATTGTATTTAAGGAACATTTTTATTTTATAATATTACTTTTAAATTCACAAACAGGTAGTTTATTTTTCCATGTGTTTTCACTGTTAATAAAATACATATCCATATATATCGAGTATCGCCATTCAGCTAATCAAGATGAGTTTTGGTCCATATCGCCCGGCCTACAACATACAACAACCAAGCAAAACGGATTGATAAGTCTAATTAATTATGACGCTGCAACAAGTTGAACTAATTAACTGGGATCATTCTACAGTATGCAGGCTATCTGAGTTTGAGGGTAATACCATAAATAATCCCATTAAAATCTGGTTTATTTATTTACATAAAGCCTGTTTCCCTTTTTTTTAAATAACTGTTCAACATGAAATAAATCAGATTGTTTCAACAAACACGTCCAACAAAATGCTAATTGAATATAATTGCAAAGAGAATGGGAGATAGAAAATAAAACTTTTGAAAATTATTCTTTTTAAACAGCATCGTTTGCATTTATCATCAGAATATTTGACCTCAGACATTTGTTTATTTTTTGGAAGAACCCCAGGCAGGAGAAAAACATCACTTCAAGTGTAGGAGGGAAGTTTTTGTAACAGTCACAAATACGATCTCAAATCATCTTTGAGCTGGATTACATCTCCATCACGTTTCACAGGATCTCTCACAGGCTTTCGTAACCTTCTGTCCGGCGGTCTCTAATGACCAGGAAGGTTATCACAACGATCAAAATGATACACACCACTACGGCCCCGATGACGATGGGGATGACTCGCTTGTTAAAGTCAGCCCAACACTCCACATCTGAAACATGAGACAGAAGGAGGGAGATGGAGGAAGAGAAGGGAGGAAAAGTCAAGAGGAAAAAAGGGTTTTGATTTGTTAGAAAAACATGTCTGTGTCACGTTTAATCTGTGCAGAAATGAATGCTGTTCTTGGAATTAGTCTACATTTGTTTGCATCCTTGTAGTTTGAGCCTGAAGTGTAGACTGTAGTCCACACATTGTCTAAGTGTAAGTAGATATTACTTTATGTATTTTTGAAGCAAGAATGTATCTAGACGCAGCTGCAGAAACAAGCACGTTATAGAAAATAACATTTTAATGCATGCAAAATTGTACAAAACTTGTGCTTGTATCCATTTTAGATTATGCACTTTCTATTTGTTTGTCATGAGCTTGCACTTGGTTTTCACACTACTATACTCAGCCTATAGACAAAACAGTATCTAGCTTAGTTTATAGACTATCCTAAACATGTTGACTAACTTTTCAGTGAGCATTTTGTCCAAGTCTTAAAAAAAAACAGTGAAAAAAAAAAGAGAGTTTTAGCAGCTTTATTATGATTTTAGCTCTAAACCCACTAAAGCAGGATAAACCTAAATGCACTCTTTGAATATTTGTGGAACAGGCTAGTTACCCCTGTTTGTTTCATGCAAATAATCTAGCTCAGATACCTTTTCCAAACTCTCCTTTGTTCAGCGTGAAGGCCTGCACCTGCAGAGGAACCAGTTTGATGTTCAGCTGAGACGACATCAGGAACAGACTCTCAGAATTGCACTTGAAGCTCTTTCCTGTAGCCGTAGAGAACAGCTCTTCCTGAGTGATACCTGAGTAAGTCTTATCTTTGAGGAAGGAGGTAAGACAGGGAGAGATGTTAATGTTTGCAGGTTTTGTACTGGATATGTGTTACGTGCCTCTCTGTGGTCTTACTTAGACGTCCATGGTTGGGAGGCAAAGTAGTCAAATGAGCGAACAGCTTGGTGACGGAGAAAAGAGTCTTGTTCTGGAGATGAAACACAAACAGACACAGAATGAAGCTGATTCATAAATTCTGGGATTCTAAATAAGACAGGCGACTTTTCTTCAAAGTAAACAAACACCAGCTAATGAATGAATCATTAATCTACAGTAGATAATGGATCTTTGAACTTGCTGTTGCCATTGCCAGAAAAAACATTTCTCTTACACTGAAATCTACATGTTCTAGATTAATTCCTCATTGTGTGATCAGCCAAAAAAAGTTTGTTAGTTTCACATTTGAGGGAAAACATATTACATCATTTCCATGCTTTTTTGAACATTTCTGCTGACTGTTACTGGACATTTGTACTAATCTTGTTTTTCTTTATCTGCAAATCCAGACTTTTGGCTTGTGCCTTGGCTATTATTTCTCAGCTATTGCACTACACTATTGCACCCTGTTGGTTTAATTAGCCTGCTAATCAGCTGAAGTTGGCAATATTATGTAACCTTCTGCATGGCGCACCTGTCTCCTCTGCAGTCACATTTTCCCTTTTTGTTGAGTCGATGACGACAAAAAGACAAATGGTTTTTCAAATGATTCAAAAACAGAAACAAGTGAATATTTTCATTCCATACACATGTTCTGTATGAGGCTAGACCATATTAGACATTATTTACTTAAAGTAAATGTCAAAACATAACATAGTCATTGTGCTGTGAAATGTTTAACATCATTCATAAAGACACTTTTCAGCTCATCTAAAGTCTTCTTAAACGAGATGCTTAAACAAACCTGCAAGGTTTCACAAAACAGGATTAGGGATTATTTGCGAGTGCACGCTCAAATCTGGTTGTTGAATTCTTTTCATTGTTTGATGTTATTTCTGTTTGTTATAGTCGGCTCTTTCATTTGAAACATTTTGTATGCTGCCGTCTTGTTCAGGAATCCCATTGTGAAAGAGAGAGAGCTTAGTGGGACTATCTCTAATCGATTCAAAAATAAAAAAGGAATTTTTCAGTTCAACAAGAGGTTGTTTTTTTTCTCAAACCACAAAGAGGCACTTTCATTCTTCTGTTTTATATTTCACTAAGCTCAATTTTTTGGGAAAATAGTAAAAGAGTTAAAGGTAGAATTTTTGGCTGTCAGGTGTAGGGCAGGAGAAGTACTAAGTTGTATTAAGTGCACACACTCAAGTCAAGTGCAATACCTCAAATACCTGCTGGAGTACCAAAATTAAGGGTGAACACATTTAGTTACATTGCATCCCTTCCTGCAGTGCAACATTCTCACAGTGAGGATTATCCATTTCTTCGTTAAATGTTTTGTACCTGTTTGAAGACGAACTGCAGACTGGCAGCGTTGTTTGGCAGAGTGAGGCAGAGGACAGCAGTTTTTTTACCGCAGTAACCGTTGACCCTGACCCTGGTCGGGTCGAGGCTCAGGTAACTGGTCTGCAGAGAAAACACAGAAGAGAGCAGAGTTACTTCATAGCAAAAGACAGCATTACAAGTCAGTGGACCTTATCAATGTGTTGGTTATACTTTGCCTAAATGTTTATGTATTTCCACTCATGTATCATAGTGCTGGAGATCGTGTCCAAGTCTGTTTTTAAAAAAGAGCTGATGCTTCTTTTAGATTTCTACGATTTCAACAGTAAAACCAAATAATAACACCTCACAAATAAATGCTGACAGACATGCACACTTACTGCAAAATGTGCTAAAAAGGAAAAAATAACTGCTCACTGCTGACCCATTCACAGCCACTAACCTTCTTTTCGATGACAATGAACACCACTCCCATCTTAGCTTTGATGCATGGTATCCCAGCAAGAGTCTTTAGCGTGTAGACCCCTGCACAAATAGACACAAAAAATACCAACTGTAACATAAGATACAAATTTCACATGATAACATGACATTTTCTAAAATTGGGTTTCTTTGATTAATTTTCTAGGTGTCACAGCTCTACAGTAGTTGTTCTCTATGAGTCGTATAGAAAAAAGGTTCAAAGAGAGTGTGTCTTTGTACGACGGAGGAAAAAATAAATTAAATTTACGAGAATAAAGTCGTAAATTTACAAGAATAAATTCGTAAATTTACAAGAATAAAGTCGTAAATTCACAAGAATAAATTCGTAAATTTACGAGTTTAATCTCTTAAATTTACAACTTTAATCTCGAAATTAAAAAAATTAATAATAATTTGAACGTGGCCCTAATCCTCCGTCGTATCTTTGTAGATCATTCATCTAGCTGTGTTTCTGTTTTTCTTGTAGAACTTTGATCATTTTCACTTATTAAGTTATAAAGTGTACATGTACATGATACATACGCACGAGTTATAATTTCCTGTAAGTGTAGGACAACCTCATTTCATCTCAGTCATCAAACTACTGAGTTCGGACAGATGGTAAACCTACTGATCAAACTTGTTTTCAGTTAAAAATAAAACAGCTTTCACAACCTTAAAGTAAAAAAGCTCTTTTATAATCATCGCACAGTGCCAACCATCTTCAAAAAGCCGACCGGTTTGACAGCTGACAGCAACCACAGGCATCGTCTGATTCACTTTCATTAGTTAGCTTTTATTCTCTTGTTGTGCATCTCACCCTTTGATTCTATCACTACTGGGGACATCTTTGAGATTAGAATAAGTGGGTCAGAGAAACTGGTGGTGTTGTTCATATTTCTGTGATACATCTGGCTCATTGTGTAGGTGTGTACCTATAGGAGGGACGGACTCAGAGGGCTGAAGGACCGGGTAGTAGATCTGAGCGTCAGAGGGAAACTCCTCAGAGTCAGATAGAGGCTGGATGGAGCTGCTGTTCCCCTGAACAACTGGTGGACAAAGAAACATGTAAATACACCAATAAATCATTTCTATTGGAATTTAACAACATTTATTTGATGGGAAAACTTGTGCATCACGACACACTTAAAAAAGACAGAGTTAACAGAGGTCAGTAACTGATTTCCAACTCTATCCACCGTCCTATCTCTCCATTAAAGGCACAAAAAGCCCAAAAATAAATCTTAGGAAAAAAAAAAATACCCCATTGGTTCTGGATGGAATAAACATAATACTTGTCTCATTAAACTATGTTAAAGGAACAAGGTGTTACTATGCCGACAGCACATTGTAAGCAGCATAGCCTTAGGAGAGCACAAAAACTCCATGAAAGATATAAAGTTAGTAACATGTATCAATGGATTTTAATCTTTCATGATTCATGTCCAAGTCATGCAAAGTGTGGTGTTTCAAGTCTCCTAGCAGTCTAAGCCTATATCAGCTCGGCTTGTACAACAACAAGAAGGCCTACATTCTGGGAGCATAATCGTATAGAGTATTAAAAAGGGAACTATAAGTCTTTATGTCATGATTGTGCCTGGCCATTATAGTATGGATGTAAGGAGAAGGTTTATAAAATTCAATTACAATCTTTATCAGTGCCAGTGCAGAAAAGCTAATATGGGAGAAGTATGATGTATTTTCCTAGTTTTAAGTACAAATGCGACAGTATTTTGGTTCAATGTATTTGTATCATGCACAGTTTAATTAAGCTCATCTACCAAAAGTCAGCAGAAAATAATATAGAGTGGATGGACACAAGTTCCCTTTTCAATTCAACTTTTTGCACAAATGTAGACAACGCTATGATTTCTATCATAGAAGCGTTTCTGGACATATCTCGGGAAATACGTTTTTTTTTTTGGGGGGGGGGGGGAATAAAAATCAGGTGTTGTATATGTGTGTACCTCTTAAAGGGATCTCTTCAACAGAGTTGTAGATCTGAGCCTCAGTGGTCACCTTGGAGTCGGACTCAGCCTGGTCAGAGTTGCTGTTTCCCTGGACCTGAACACCTTGAGGAGGAAGAGACAAACACCATTATTCATCACAATACAACTGTCAAAAGAGTGAAGGCTCTTTTTGTCTCCTTTTACAAAAACTGTGCTTCAGAAAAGTATTCTTTAATGGATTTGTGGGGCTCTTTGTAAAAATAGCAGGTGTTTTGTAGGTGTGTACCTTTTGGAGGGATCTCCTCAACAGAGTGGTAGATTTGAGCCTCAGTGTTCAGGTCAGAGCTAGAATCAAGCTGGATAGAGTTGTTGTTCCCCTGGAGGTGAACACCTGGAGCAGGAAGAGACATGTCCATTTTGACAAATCAGTTAGTAACAGTTAGTAAAAACTGCTTCCATTCACTTTTTCGTTGCAATATGGAAATTTGTCTTAAACTAGAAAGCTGCAGGCATTTAGCTGTCTTCATAGCAGTATTAAAACCCTCTGCACCTTTAAGAAAAAGCTAAAGACCCAGCTCTTTCATGAATACCTACTAACTTAATGATGATGGTCTCCATATTATTGATGATGATGATGGTAATGACGATGGTTTTTGTTTGATAACGACGACTTATAAGATGGTTTCTATACTGATTAGAGCTCTCAAGAACTGCCCTCAATGTTGTGCTTTGCCTCTGGTCACTTCCTGTCAGCACCTGTGTGTCCAATCAGACTCAAAGCTGATCGTTTGCTCTTACTGACATTTTCTTTTTTTCTAGATCCTTGCTTGTGTTGATCTTACTCTCTGATGTACGTTTGGATAAAAGCGTCTGCTAAGTGAATTGTAGAATTGTAGAAAATGAATAAATATGTAAACAGAGTGGAAAAGTTGCTGCACATAACTGCAAACACAACTTGTTATACTGTCCTACTCATACTTGGTAAAGTATTCTATGTAGCTCTGCTTTAACTGGTCATGTAATGTGAAAGAGGTTTTCTGTGTCAATGGCTGCAATGCAACATTACGTTCACTATCAGAGCACAATATACAGTACAGGAGACTTTTACACAGGGATTCTTTTCTGTTGATTAAGTCCAATAAAGGCTGCATTACTGCATATTTGTGAAGGGAACCAACCAGGATGTGTACTTTACTAAGCAAAGCAATGCAAATCTGTGATCTTGGCTTGTAACCGAGCTATTATTTCTCAACACACACAGAGAGCTTCCTGCAGTACATTTCATCCACTCTGGTAATCAGCTGATACTGAGTGCCAGATGACAGGGCTGCATGATATGCGACAGGACCAGTCTTACATTATATTTAACCTTAGTGCTGCATATTCCTTTTAATTCTGCATATAGTTAAATCATCTGCACTCTTGTAGTACCCCACATTGTAACTCTGCCAAAAGACTTAACAGATTTTTGGAATAACAGATGATGTAATACGTTTAAAACCAATGGGAAACAAACTACATTATTGTTATAACCTTTGTTCACTTTGCAACAGAACAACCTGGTAGCATACATACATGGTTATACTGTAAACAACAACAATGGCACGTGTTTTTGGCAAACTTATTGCAAGATATTTTAAAATGAATAGGTGGATGCAACTGTATTGTAAATTTCCCCATTGTGGGATAAATAAAAGATTATCTCATCTTCTCTTATCTCTTATCTCTACTGTAGTCATAGTGATTCTAAGCCTCGTCATATCTGATGCATTAAACCACGGCATTAGAGAGATGGAAAGGTTGAAACCACAAAAGACCGCTGAAGAGAGCACTAGAGGAAACCAGAGTGCACATTTACCAGACAGGTAGAAGATAATAAACACAATAAAAAGAAAGCACAGCAGCATTAAGACACAGTTTAATGTAAATACTAAAAGTCGCCAAAAAAATGTTTTTCAAGTTGCAGAGAAAAGACAAAGAAAGAATTGAGAGATCTCTTTCTGAGGTAGAAAAAAAATATATCCTCAAACTTACTGGGAATAAGAGCAGCCATGAGGAAAAGAGTCCATCCACCTGATTGAGCCACGAGCATCATAGTTAGTGAAGTAAATAAAGAAGCAGAGTGGAGTAAATCTGCAGTGCACAATGAGTAGTGCAGTTATAGAGCGCTGCAGCTGTGGTTGGACTTGTAAATGTGAAACTGTTTAACACCTAAGCGATTCAAAATGTTTCTGATAAGAAATTAAATGTGATGCTGTTCTCGTGGTCAAGTTTGACGATCAAATAAGAAACAACTACTAAGATCAAAACTGTGTTGGGCATGTTAAACATTATGAAGGATTCAAAATGTTTCTGATAAGAAATTAAATGTGTTTTCCTCTCCTTTCCTCTTTTCTGGCCTTAAAGCCTTTATCCATCCATCCATCCATTATGTATACCGCTTTTACCCAAAGGAAAACAATCATGCAAACCATTCAAACCAGGGACCTTTTTTTTGATCACACAAGTCACTTTATATCATCACTGGTTACTTTAACTTGCCATCCACCACACATAATTCAGAATTGTCCTGTATTGTTTAACTATTTATATTATTTTGTCTATACATCCTATTGTTGTTTCTATCTGTATTTATCTTATCGATCCTGTGAATTTTGTATTACTTCTTTCTCTGTCTTGCTGCTGCAATGCCCGAATTTCCCCTCTGGGGATCAATAAAGTATTATCCTCCTCCTTTATGTCACCTTTAAATGGTCTCAGTCTCTTTTGTCTTTAATGGGTCAAATCCACAGCATACATGTTTTCATTTTTTTAAGAGATGTTGCTTCTTGGTTTTTTAAATCAAATCAAGTTTATTTGTATAGCACATTTAAAAACAGCTTAATCTGACCAAAGTGCTTTACAGGCAATGCATAAAAGCAAGGAATAAAAAATAATAATGTGAAAAAACATTTCATTCAAGCAGTAATCTCAGAAACAACCTGAACAACCTCACAACTTAAACAAAACCTATGACCTAATACCACAAGATTCAGGTAAGTATAAGCTTCCAGACCTTTTATTGATGGACATTTGTTGTTGTCTATGCTGTATGTGTATTGTTTGTTTATACAGTCCATAGCATATCATGTGGTTAGAGGATGCATATTCACATTATGTCTACCATTTTTTTATTGAATAGTCAGACATTTTGGAAATACGCTGTTTTGCTTCTATACTCAGAGCTACATAAGAAGATGGCTAACACTTTGGCGTCTTTTGTTGTATCTGTTGTTACATAAAATATTAAACTTAACCAGCGGTAATTAAGCATAACAGGTGGAAGAAGAGAAGCTACAGGCGGCAGGAAAATAGCTAAGGTGATTATCACCGGGGAATATGACGCGCCAGCAAGAATCAAATTAGGTTAAAGGGTTACAGCATGCAGCATGTTATCACAGGTTATCACAGGTTATCACAGGAGGAAGCAGCTAGCATAGCTCAGTCCAAATACAACAAAATGTTTCGACCATCATAACTGAACTTTCTGGAGTCTTGTCTTTACTAAGAGTGGCAAACATGTAGACTTCAGGAGTAAATGCGTCCAGCGAAGAAACAGTTCAGAAGTCTTGTCTGTCAGATTCTGTATTTATATGTAGAATGCATTGATAAGCATGGATCTTGTTTTAACATCTGAAAGAGACCTTTGAAGATTTAATAATTTAGTAATGGCAACGATTAAGAGTTTAACAACTACTTATGCACTTGTTACCTTCAGGTTGGATTGTAGTATTTATCTTTTTACAGGCCGTCCTGATAAGTAGGGATGTAACGATTCACTCAACTCACGATACGATAATGATTTTATCAATGATTTTATAAACTACTTTTTTTCGTCAATAACTTTTCTGCACTCTTGTTAAGCACTTTGAACTGCAATTTAATTTGTCTGAAAGGTACTGTATAAATAAAGTTTGATTGATTGATTGATACGATTCATGATGCTGGGTTCACGATACGATTCTCTCACGATTTATTTTACAAAATGAGACTGTAGACAAATTATGACTGAAAAAGATTCCCTTAGGGGCTTCAAACCCGCTTGTCAGAGTGTCTTGTCTTTTTTTCTCTCAACAAGGGGAGGTGATCGGAGCGTCTCATTGTGGTGCTGATTAAATGCTGCATCATGTTGGTCATGCTATTTGTGTAGTTCCTCGTCTTCTTCTAATATTTTCACACAGTTTTTTGTCTCGTCTGTTATCGTCTCACCTCTTTCATTTTCTGTCTCGGCGAAGCCAAAATTCTTCCACACTTCCGATTTAAAACACGGTGGTGCGTCCTCAATTTCAAAATCTTTGCTCTGCAGCTGCCGACACTCACGATATTATTGCCAATCATTTTTCAGAGTACCGATGTGAATCTGGACACCTTTGAACTGATTTATCCCGATTTTACGATTAATCTTTTAATAAGTCTGAAGACTCTTCAATCGAGAGGAACCAGTGGTTTATGAAGCTTACAGACTTTAAGTGTAACAAACTCAAAGATCAGCAGAGGAAACATGGACGATTTGGGCATGTTGTCATCATAAGCTGACACGTATCTTGTTGTACTTGGTGAACTTTGGGTAATCTTGTGATCACACAGACACAAAATCAGTCTGAAACATCTACAGTAGAGACAGTTGGACACATTCCTCCCCCCCCCCCCCCCCCCATTTCACAGAGCAGCAGTGAGGAAATCAGAGTGGTGTCGGCTTAAAGGTCGCCAGGGACAAAGTACCAGTTAAAACACACAAAACACTCACTGAGCACACACACGCACACAACAACTGACCCTTAAACATGTAAGATTAGGACATTAATGCTGCCTCACAGTCACTGCCAATGAGCACTTTTAAATGTGATTTAATTTGACAGTAATGTTGTGTGTGTGTGTGTGTGTGTGTGTGTGTGTGTGTGTGTGACTCAAGTGTTTGCTCTTTCAAAGTCATTTATAAAGGAGGTTAGATCATCTCCTCACATGATCTCTCTCTGTATTGACTGGACAGGTAGGAGGGCAAACAAAGAAGCAAACATTTACTTTTCTTTTACCGACTGAGCTTGAATGCATGTGTATGTGTGTGTGTGTGTGTGTGTCCTCTGCCCCCTTCCTATCCTGTATGTGTGTGTGTGTGTGTGTGTCCTCTGCCCCCTTCCTATCCTGTATGTGTGTCCATTAGTGAGTCATCAACTTTTGCAGGATTTTCAGCCTACAGTTTTAGGGAGAACTTCACCTACCGTGGAGAGAGGAGTCCAGTTTTTCTTCTTCAAGCCCAGCAGGATCGACAGAAGGCCTGTCCTCCTGCAGTAACTGTGAGTTAACTTACTCTTTCTTTCATTTTTTTAAAAGTTTGTTCTGACAGCTTCTTAAGTCTAACCTGGCTTGTTTTCATACCACAAATAAGAAATTGAAATCTGAGAAACACTGCTGCGGTTAAGAGGTTTTGTGACCTGAAATGCCCTTTTTATTAAATTGATGAACTGTTGCTAAAAGTGTTGCATTTCTTTACCTCGGAGAAGAGCAAAGCCAAACGTCCATCAGGATCAGACGATGAGGAGTGCGTTGGGGCTCTGTGTCCTGGGCCTGCTGTGCCTCTACAGCCCGGTGTCTGGGCAGGTAATGACTGGTTTTAGTTTCCTTTTCTGAGTAAAAGTAGATATAGCAAACTATGAAAGATAATTCATAACTAAAACTTTGCTTAAATTAAGAAAAAATACAAAATTATCATCAAAATGTATTTAATGGTATTTATAGTTTAATAACTCATAACCACTGTTCGGTTATTCATCATTTATATTACATAACTGGCTAATCATATTGGAGCAGGATGCAGAATTTGACTGCCAACACATTTTTAAAAAGTGCTTTTTATTTAGTAAAATGATCAAATGTGATAAATTTAAAAAAAATGGTTATCTTAACAGTAAAAAGTAACTGAAGCTTTCAGATAAATTTAACTGAACAAAGAAATCATGTTTACTCAAAGCCGTTGAAGCAGCTTTAAGAGTCTAAGCTCCAAATAGGTGGAATCAGACTCTTTTAAAAGAAGATTTAAAACATTTCTTTTTACTGCGTTATTTTATTAGTTTGATCAATCTGTGTGTTTTTGATAGTTAAACATTTTGTGCATACACCTCTCTGCTTGTTTGTTTGTTTTTAATGCTCTTAATATGTGTTTTTTTATATATATATATATATTTTTTATATATATATATTTATTTGCTCCTGTGAGGCACATTCTGTTACTTTCTATATTAAATGTGCTCTATAAAAGCTTATTCTTACTCAAATGTACTGTAGAATAATTATAATTTTATTTACTGTGTACTTATGAACACTAAGTCTAACTTTAAGGAAATGCTTCTTGTGAAAATTATATAATCGCAAAGCCTGTAACATGGTTCAGCCAACTTGCTTTACGTATCATCATATAATCATCATTCAATAGATAAATGTAAATCATGCAAAAGTAGATGCTCTGTGCACAGAACTGTCAGTCCTTATATCTTGGTGCAGGTGATGACAGGAAACATAAACTTGAAAGCAGTTTGGAAGATTCACTGCACACATGAGGGCTGAATAACTCCTTTTTTTAAAATCTTAAGACATACTCAAACAAACTTGTTACACCCACATGGCTTCATCAGGTTTGTGCATTGTTTTGTCACACAATGAAGCCTGCAGTTGTTTGTCAAGTTATATGTCTGAATACAGAATAATATGAAGTGTTAACACTTTATATTATACCTGTTTAGATTGTAAGAAAAGAATTAAAGGCCTGAAGTTGTAACCATAAGTATTTAACAAAATACAGAAAGGAGTGGGGAGGAGTTGGACCACAAATGGTGCAGAAAAAATAATTTTCTTTTCAACTATTTTCATCAATTTTTTTTCTTTTTCAGGATGCAGTGCAGGTCCAGCCTGGCGTCCTGATCTTTTGTGACGACCCGTCTGTAGAGAAGGCCGTCCACAGTGCCATGCACAAGTTCAACGAGGGACTAAACAGCGGACACAACCTGGCCCTCTTTCAGATACTTTCAGCCAGGAAGGTATAGTGAGCACAAAAAGGATGTAGAGGATGAAGGAGGAAGCTATACTTTAACTTTCTGGTTATTTTGTTGATATTGCAAATAATCAGAATCTTTTTAATGGCAAAGAAGTTATACTTAACAAATTTCC